GGTTTAGAGGTGCGGCCAAAGGCTCGTAAATGGCCGATATTCCTAAGGGATTATTTACGACATTCTGGCTTAAGTGCTCTTGGTAAATATGGTACCACGTTAGGTCCGGCAACACTGTACTTCTTAATATGCTTAGCGTCTTCCCTCGTAAAACCACCCCTACGTGAACTCTGTTACCCTTACGCTGGTAAAACCCGTCATCCACCCCCCAAGGATCAAATTCGTGGCACGTATTGGCTTCGCAGGTGCTGGACATGGAGCTCGCTTGCAGCCCTTTTAGATCTTTTTTTTTATTTCATTCGTATACGCGTCAGATCCCAGAAGGGGTTGAAAAGCATATACGGCTTTCTACATGTCACACGGTATAAGTGGACGATTTTAATTACAAGTGAGTAATTAAATTCGTTTTCCTTTTTTTGCATTTTCTTCTTTCATGGCACCGTCGTAATTAAGCTTTTGGATATCCGGTTGCGTCAGGCTAGGGAGCTTTTTGTCTGTACCTAGAAATTTGAAAGGCAAATTTTCTTTCTTTATGTACCGAACATTTCCTTCGGCTACATTGAAACATTGCACGAGATCTTTAATCAAGCGATAGGAGAAAATCCGAAAGAAACTGTAAAAGTCGTAGGTCACGATAAACATTTAAAACGGTTATAAAACCGCGATACAGTAGAATGAGAATTGAGCTAACCAGCTAGAGGGTCATATTGTGTACGTTTCTTTATTTTTTTTTATTTCACCCTCTCCTTTTACGGCACCCCTATAAAATTTACGTTTCCCATTCTCGTTGATTATCCATTTTCTTCATTCCCCTTTCTAGAAAGATCAATAAAAACCCTGCAAATAGTCCAAGTCCCTCGCAAACCATTTGAGCTTGCAATCTTACAGTTTTAAGTTCCCGGCTCATGCAGGAGAGAATCGAAAACGTATAAAAACCAAAAGTAAATAGCCTCAAAAGCACATTGCACGCGTTTCGTAGACACGCGGTACAAGATCTAGTAAATAAAATCCTAAAAATCCCTAGGACGCTAAAACATTCTCAGCCTTGAAATCCTGCAAGATATTTTTGTTCTCCTGTAGATATACTATCTCCAAGAAATCGAGTTCACGCTATGTACATACCAAACTGATAAGAAGCAAGATCGGGGAGAAGCTGAGATAGGCGAACGAGAGCGAAAGGATACGGAAATTGAGA